ACCTGACTCTCTGGTGTACCAACAAGAAAACTGATCTGAAACACATCAGTGATTTCTACAAAGATGGTGTACTTCTCAGCACGGGCTATGGAAACAACTTCATCATCCAAAATGTCTCCAAGTCTGATGAAGGACGTTACAAGTGCAGCATCTCTGGAGAAGGAGAATCTGCAGAAAGCTGGCTGATTGTTTCCAAACAAGAAAAAGGTAAAAAAGAGTCTTTATTTGTTTTTGCTGTTTGACACCAGTAATTATTTAGGGGTTGAAATTATGTTTGTTTTCCATCCATCCATCCATCCATCCATCCATCCATCCATCCATCCTCTTCTGCTCATTCTAACTTGGGTCAGGGGCAGCAGTTTGAAAAGACCTCTCTTTCCCCATCCACCTCTTCCAACTCCTCTGGGAGAACTCCAAGACATTCCCTGGCCAGTCAAGAGACACAGTCTATCCAGTGTGTCCTGGGTCTTCCCCAGGGTCTCTTTCCAGTCAGACATGCCTGAAGCAGGAGGCATCCTAACCAGATGCCCAAACTACCTCAACTGGCTCCCCTTGACGTGGAGGATCAGCAACTCTGCTCTGAGACTTTTCACTTTTCACTCTGAAACTTTTCACCCTATCTCTAAGGGAGAGACCAGACACCCTGCAGAGGAAACTCATCTATGGCTTGTATTCGTAATCTCATTCTTTTGGACACTACCCAAGATTCGAGGCCATAGGTGAGGGCAGGAACGTATGAAACAGAGAGTTTCTCCTTTCAGCTCCCTGTTCACCACAACAGACCGATACAGAGTCTGCAAAACAGCAGAAACTGCACTGATCTGTCTATGAGTCTCACACTTCATTCTTCCCTCACTCATGAACAAAACSCCAAGACACTTGACCTTCACTTGAGGCAAAATCTCACCCCAAACACAAAGAGAGCAATCCACCCTTTTCTGACTGAGGACCATGGACTCAGATTTGGAGGTTTTATAGTCCTCATCCCAGATGCTTCACACTAAGCTGTGAGCCACTCCAGTAAGAGCTGGAGATCACGGCACGATGACGCCAACAGAACCACATCATCTGCAAACAGCAGAGATGGAATCCTGAGGCCACCAAATCTGACTCTCTCCGCCCCCTAACTGCACCGAGAAATTCTGTCCATGTAAGTTATGAACAGAAATTGTGACAACGGGCAACCCTGGAGTCCAACTCCCACTCTCAAAGGGTCCAACATACTGCTGGCGATGAACCGAACTCGAACCGCTTGTATAGGAACTGAATGGGCTGTAACATCAGACCCACAATCCCATACTTGTGTAGCACCCCCATGACTTCTCCAAGTCTACAATACACATGTAGAGAGACAAACTCCCAAGATCCCTTGAGGTCACTAGTGGGGTTAAAAACCTGGTCCAGAGTTCCACGGCCAGGACAGAACCCACAATATTCCTCCTGAATCTCAGGTTCGAACATCAATCAGACTCTTTCTCCTGTACTCCTGAAAAAACCTTACTGAATAGGCTAAGGAGAGTGATACCCCTGTCATTAGAGAAGACCTTCTGATCTCCCATTTCGAAAAGGGGAACCACTACCCCAGAGGCACTGCCACCAATGTCCATGTGATGTTGCAAAAGCGTGTCAACCAGGACAGTTTTATAACATCCAGAGTCTTGAAGAAATGAGGGTGAATCTCATCCACTCCTGGAGCCCTGCTACCATGGAGCTTTTTAACTACCTCTGCAACTTCAGCTCCAGTTATGGACGGACCA